AAACGATATATAATTCCTGGAATTCCGGAAAGTATTCTTGCTATTACCAACTGAACGGTTGAAGAAGGCGCGGAAACAAAGTGTTCAAATATGGCTTTGAATTCCTTTATCAACAAACCTGTATTTTTTAACACCTGAGCTCTGTAATTGAGAAAATGCCATCTCCAACAAAAATTAAGACCCTAAAGTTTTTAATTTAGATTACTGACCGTTACTCTCCTTCTGTGAAAGAAATTAGGCAAATCAAGGGGGCATTGGTTGAATTTGCACAGAAATATCCAAGGTTCGAGTGGACAGCGGAGTTGCAAAAATGTATTACTAATACCAAAAACATTCTTTAGTCCAGTTAAATGTTGGCTACTATGATAGAAAGGCTTTTATAATTGTGGCGGCCGACACCGGTAAATGTACTCTAGACGCACTGATTTCACGCAAATACATATAAAGATATGCTAAAATCGAGAATGAGGCACTAGCACAACTACATGAACGGCTGAAAATTTACACTACCTACCGATCATGGGTTATTAACTATTTCTGGCAGTTAAAAGCGGATACATGTTTACAAAGCAAACCGTCTTTCAAAAAAACCATACTCTAAAAAACAGTACGGCTTCGAAATATGGTGTATCAAGGCTCCTGATTTTGGACGAGCGCATTTATGCTCATTATTGTAAAATTAAGTGCTTTCGTGACGATTGTTACCCACTCTTCGTACCATTAAAAGACATTCAATACCATAGCGCTCACTGCCCACTAAAGCCTTTAAATTTTTTAAATAATTGGGTAAATAGCCAATAATAATAATACACCAAAATTATCCAACTTAGTATATTCACTGAACGGATATTTTATCGTACCTGAAGAACTTAAACACAGATTGGTAGATCAATTACACACAAGACATTAGGAACAACATAAATGACACAAATATTGGCCCTACATAAAGCTTGACACAGAGCCAGAGTAGTGCGTAAGTGCTTGAAATGTACCCAAACCTGAAGGAGAAAACCGTTACAGCGTTGATTCCTGCAACCAAACTTTTTGAAAGAATACATGTAGAAGAAACAATGGAAAGAGTCCTATAGAAGAAGCCATTTTTACATATATAATGTATAATATTTCAAAATGGTCACAGATGTTTTCGGCTTAAATGACTAAGTGAAGAGGTCCGTTAAACGCATCTACGACAGTCCCTTCATAGCACTCAAGCTTACATTGCACAACTAAATATGGTAAAAATCACTCTTCCTGGATTGAAACATACGAGCAATTTTTTTCTGTTAGGGACGAAACAGCAAAGCGAATCCAATTCAAAGACTGACTTCAGCCACCTATATGACACTAGCGTCAAAACATATTTTAAAAGCCAGCCTGTACATGTAAGATTCCAACAACTGAACCCTAGACTTTAATATATATACTACAGAGGATCGGAAAGGCGCTATGTTAAGTCCAAGCAGACCTCTGGAGGCTCCATGCGAGTCACGCAAAAATTTAACAACTATGTATAGAAACCAAAAGCAATCAATAGGGTCTCGCGCAAGTTTGCTCAAATACGTAATACTCAAAACAGGTGATTCGTAGAGGAAAGTGCGTACGACTCTAGGATCCTATACGAGATTTAGAAAAGCAAAGAAGCTGTCTTGATTTTCCCATACATATATGTTCGACGTAAAGTCGAGTTATAACTAACTTTATCAAACAAGGAGTTCGTTTGGGTTTCCAGACAATGCTTGGTAAAGGATCCATGTAGATTTCGCTGGTTCTTGGAGAAAAAATGCTGTTGAGCAAGGTTCACGAGGTATGTAGGAGTCTTTGTGCTTAACAAGTTCCTTATACATAATTACGATGTACAGTCACGTGCTTTGTTCATGCGCACGTTCTCGTGTCAAGCAACGGAATGCAATTTAGTGGTGCAGTATTGAGATAATACTTTGGCAAGGTCAAAAAAAAATTAGACATTCCTTATTGCTATGTGAGTATGGATAAAGCGGGTCGAGCTGTGTGCACAGTCGAAGAATACCTAGTAGATAAACTGGCCTTCAGGAGACAAATGTCAGGACTTTTTCGAAGACCACGTTTTCCAAATAGATCCGTAACTATAGTGTTACAAATTTACGAAAGCCCACAACTAAAGTGAAGGGTTAATGTTCTAACCGCTTAAGATCGGAGGGGGCAGTGGTTAAACGAATTTACAATAATTCAAACACTAAATATGGCATTGAATCTCAATCAATAAACCTCAAAGTGGAACTAAGATATTATGTTGAAAGGTGATGTTCTAGCCAAGCTTATCACGTCCGTTTAGACATACGATTGTAATGTACTAGACATCTTTCCGATGAAAAATATAATCGATCAGGTTTCATAACCCGCTAAAATTCAAAATACAAGTGAAACTGGTGTCCAACACAACCATTTTGCTGGTGGACTACACTCGTTGCAAGTTTTCTTGAACAGAGAAAAAATTAATTTTAGATTTTCTGAACCTCGATATCAAAGTATCACTTAACGTTAAACCCAGAAGAGCAGGAAATTTGTAAAAAAACGTCCGGTTATAAAAGAAAGTAAATAAGTAACAAGATAAAATAAAAAAAATATCGGTAGGATATCGATGAAACCATTTCATAGGTCTGTTGAAATTTTTGAGCATTTTATTATTTCGAGCCTTTCAATATGGTTTTGTTGTAATTCTATCTGCACCTGGTTGTCGGACACGCTCTTCCGTCGACCTGAGGGCTAATTCTTTTTAGTTAAATTGAAAGGTCTTGGAATTGACACGCATTACTCCACGTTAGTCTTGTGCATACCCAACTGACCGATATTTACGAGCGAAGATTGATGGTCAATTGATCGTGTCCCCTTGTGTTTATTTCCCTGACATATCTGGTTTGTATTTCACTTTATTAACTAATGGCATATAGCGCAAAGTTAGGTCAGTGGAGTATGCAGATAATTTAAAATTATGCGGTTTAATGAAAACCATGCTTCCACGCAATTTCGTAATCACCTGTAAAAGGTGTTTCTCAGAGGTTCGGTAAAAATAGTACCCAAATTATACACTAAAGGAATATTATCTGTTCTTATTATTATTCGTGAATTTTGATTACCAGCGAAATCACTTTTAAAGCTTTCCGAACTCAAGAACTAGTATTTTGATTTACTAAACTAATAAAATACGATTTCTTCCCCTTGGTATTGGCTTTGTAGTTAGAATCTCTTAGCTAGCTTAACGTGTGCCTCAGGGATCCTTTATGGGAACTGTCTGGAATTGTTGGTTGCCAATTCAAGGCTACAACATTTTATGGATCTCAGGTTTTATGGATTTCAGGAAGTCAAATCTTTACCAGACCACTGCTGTACGCGACGTTCAGCCAAAATATACACCCTCTGAATCAGAAGTTACAACGAGTGCTCTATTTTACAACATCTAGCGGCATTCCCGACCTGGGGGAGATGCATATATGGAGCGAATATTTCCACAAAAATTCATCGGACATTACGTTCACGTAATCATTTTTCTAGTAAATGTCGGCATAGTAACTTGAACGGCTAATTTTGGCTAAGAAAATGAAGAATAGCTAATTCAAGCTAGTAGAATATACCATACAGCTACTGTGAATGCATAAAAGTAAATTTTGAGTAATGCTGCATTGGAAACCCAATATGCTCAAGTTTCTTACATTAAATCATTTACAAATGTCCTCTAAAAGTTTATTTGGTGCCCACAGAATACACCTTTGAAAAAGAAACATCCCCATAGGAGCGATTGTTTGTAAAAAATCTTAGGAGGATTTATGGGGTTATTAGGAGTTTTACGGACCGTCAGGTGAAGTCCTTGACGTTTTGAGCTTTACCTGCCGCGAGCGGCATTTCAACAAAAATGCCGTTGCTTTGTCTGAAATGATCAGCTGCGTCCTGTATAGTCTCCAATTGAATGCGAAAGCTATTCATATACCCTTTACTAGGTCGATACCTGGGCTAATTTGCGTTCATTATATGTGAGAGAAACGTTGTAAAGGTTTGTTCCTATCTGCGGATGGTAGAAGCTTTGCTAATTTCGATTAAAAATTGGCTAATTTCAAGATCGGCTGAACTGGATCATATAAAACACAGGTCATCTGACCGCATCTTACACCATAAGTGTAACGGAACAAAGATTGGTTAAATAATAGACTTGTAATATATTTACTGGTTTACTTTAGCTACTGAAAAAATGTAATGTCATTAAACATGGAACAACACGATAGCCAACATTTGAGTTTGCCCCTGTTGGTCCTTTACTAAGAATCATGATCATCTATTCCAGTTTTAAGTTTACTCATATGGTAATACCCAATGACGATTTCCATGTTGGCAGTAACCTTTGTCTTCAAGCGGTTAGAACCGTTTTTCATAATCCCTGATCGCGGACGACGATTTGGTCCATCCAATTGCCTATGCGATAGTTTTGTCTATGCGATAGTAGATAGTAGATAGTATTGCCTACGCGATAGATAACACTAATAAAATTAACATAATTTTTTTCTTATAAAAAATTGTTTGCCCAAAAAAAAATCTTCTAATATATTTTTTAAGATAACACATCTTGAACTTTTGTGAAATCAGTAAAATAAATTTCAAGTTAAATATTGGCGTCTAGATAAAAAGGTACGACTGTAATTGCTTCGTTGCGAGCATGACAACGGGCAATACCTCGCAAATTAATAATACAATAACTACATAAAATTAATAAAAAGAAAAACCTTAAATTCACGTTTCTAGCAGAGCAACGCTGACGCCGTTTGATCCATGAGCAATGCAGTTGCTGGCTTCTCATTAAGCGTACTATACGCATAACTCAAACATTAACGAACTAAACTAATAATGATCGCGTCTTTCGAGATCTTCTTCTATCGATCGACACTCTCCCCTAAAAGTGTTAAGTTAGGTTGGTTTTTAAGAACTTTTTGAGCTAGTTCGTAACAAGCTTTTGTGTTTTTTTGGCCCTGCTTTAGATCGCCGTCGTTCGTCAAAATCGACTCAGCCCACCGCTCAATGCAAGGCAACTATACCTGCCGGGTGGAGACCGATAAGGGTGTTTCCGAGAATGACTTTTATCTCATTGTGATAGTCGACTCGTGCAAAGAACAATCCTGGACAACGTACTCCGACAGAATAGGTAAGTCATCTTTAGATATGCCACAAGTGGGGTTCGTTTGAAATCAGTGCGGGTCGTCGGAGCAATTGGTCGATTTGCCACTACAACATACATGATCTTTTTGGTAAGGCTGTACCAAAACCACTTGTGTGTCTATGGTCCCGCTCATAGTTATTACCTGGCTTCGTTTTCTTTATTTTAAAAATTGTATTCTTTTTTTTTCATTTTACTTATTAAACGATATGTTCTCACTCGTTACTTCCTAACCTCTTGTTTTGTGCAATGTAACCGAAGCCTTTATTAGACCAAGATAATTCAAGCAAATTCAGTCAGGTATAAAAATGACTTAGTTCCAATGGTGACCTGGTTGAGTTACAATTTTACTTGTTAATATTTTGTTGTTTAAATATCACTTGCTAGCTAACTAGAAAGAGTTTGACAGCGAAAAAAAAATCATTACTGGCATAGCTTTCTACCTAGCAAGCATTTCTTATAGTTTATAGTAAAAAAAAAAACTTGCAAGAAATAGCTGGGACTGCCCGGTTGTTTTGGCACTAATTAATTCTGGTACATAGTCTGATACTGGTACTTAGTGAGCAATCAAGTGATACAAAATGTAGTCGACCTCATTTCGCATTTATTAGCCGTGATAAAGATATAACTAACCTGTAGTTCGTTGCATGGTATTGGTAGCAATGAGCTAACCCACATTTTCGGCAAACATCAACATCTCTGACGGTAGATCCTGTGCGTCGCAAACCTGAACACTGCTTTAGGAGTATCGGTTTGCTGTGCATACGGCTTGTTGTCCAATTCGTTTCATCGATTCATGAGAAAAAGAATCAGATTAAGCGAAAGTTTCAAATAAACCAAGGATTTCAACTTATTATGGCGTGTGGGTCAAGAAAGCAGTGTTTCCTGTTGAAGTATGAGGCTTCGTCGCTTCTTTCAAAAATGCTGGTTTAATGAAACATGGAAGAGGTATTTTAAACTTTGCTGTCACTTCATGGAAATGATGAAAAGGCGATGGCATATCAAAAAAGATGATTCGACGGTTGAATCCAGTACATTCTATTTTTCTCAAGATCCTATTTATAGCTGTTAGCACGGATTTATTCTCTATTGATCGGTACTTAGTATCCGACATGTACTCATTTTCCTCAGCATATTCTAGCTTTTTTTCATTTTTATCAGCCAGATATTTTATCAGCCACTTCATCGAATGTGCGGGTTCCTTTTAGGTTCGCTTTTTTAGATTAACGCAAAGACACTGCAAAGAAGGACGTTGATGAAGATTCGGGGAAAAATCTCAAAAACTAGGGGTGTTAGGGCTACAACCGATTAGAGCTATCGACCGGTATTTGCTATCGATGCATCCCTAATCTGGCTACCGCTGAAACTTAAGGATTTGGATTTGCATAAGGAGTATCGGCTTCATGGAGAGCTGAATGCAGAAGTAGTGTCGATTATTAAGCTATTTTCAGCTTGTGATTTTGAAGATGCCGGTCTTGAAAAATGAAAACGAATCATGAAAGGTTCGAAGAAATTCAACGAGCTTTCCAAGCTGTCTGGTATAAACAGGAGTTTATTTCGAGATTTAAGATTACCAATTTATACTTATATATATATCTATGACAAATTCCGACAGTAATCTATTAACGTAACCCACTAAACAGTGATGTAATTCTCATTCCTTAAAGTTGTGTGAAAAGTATGGCACAGAACTGTTAATATGAAACTGTAAAAGAGAGTTCACAGTAAAATATTTTTTCGTTCACCAAAAGCCGTTCGCAAGAATCGTCGATATGGAAAGGAGCTCAAGTGCCAACTGTCTATGTTCTAAGTTGAATAAAGATGGAAAGTCTACAAATTCTATATATGGCCTTTATAGATCAAGGTTGTGCCTAGTATATCATTAGGATTTAGGGCGTAATCATAGTGGATGCGTCGTTCACGACCGGATCCGCGTAGCTCACCGCAGATGAGTGACGTTTAGTCAAGAACAACAATAAGTAGGACCGGAAGGATACTTTGTAAATGCTTTTATATACCTAATCTAAACGCTGCGCATTTTATAACAAATTAGAAAACAGATGCCCTTTGCGAACCCGTGAGCAATTTACTATAAGGTAGAAGTCTTCTTGTTTCCTTGAGCAACCAGTACTAATTCTACAACGTCGATTTACCTGGTCGCTTTGTGACTGCCTTGACGTTGATACAGAGACTGATCCCAATTAATATGCTCTTACCCGCGCTTAACTTATTGGTTAACTGCATACATATCTGCACAATTGGTGCTAAATAACTTAATCATTGATTTCAACTCGGTCCTGCGAACGAGAATATTCGCGCATGTTCTATTATTTGGAATCGTCAGGGTCTGTCAAAATCATCCGCTAACATTAGTGAATTTCCGTGATTGCAACAACTGCACCATATCTTAATGAGTGAACCTATTGAGCCTCTTTTCAATTGAATTGACTGTTTTAGTTTGGTTCCACATATACCGCTGCCCTACAATTGCCTTCGGCTACAGGAACTTTTCTACCGTCTAATTTTGAGCTCCAGAAATCGATACTCCTTTATTGAGGAGTCTTACATTGCTCATTTGACAAACAGGATGATTCTTTGTGCCGTACGTGTAGGCTTTGTAGATCAGGTTTCGATGAAAGTAGCACGCTGATGAGGGTAGTTGGTGATGCTGATTTATACACTGTTTTGTGGGTCTATCAAATGATTCAATTAGATTAAAAAAAAATTGCTTTTAAAAAACCTTCGTTTTTTTCATTTTTTTTATTACTTATTTTGTTCCGTCAGCCTATTATAACAGCACTCTGCTGTGAGTACAATATCAACCGAGAAGAACTTTTTAAAGACAGATGTTTCAGGTGGAAATGCATTTTTTCGATGGGTAAGGGAACTGCTTAAGGGTGGCTTATCGAGTTTGAAAACAGGATCCGGAACCTAGAAGGATGCCTCCTGCTCTGAGTTCGATGACGACCATCTAAAAACACTTTTGAAAGAAGACGCCACAATGACCGATTTTCGCACACTTGTCACGAGTCCGAAGAGATGAGTCAAAGGACCAACCCATGCCCAAGCAGATGTTTATCCAAAAAAGATTACACTTTGCGTTTGTAGGTTTCAGAAGGCCCGATTCACTGGGAACTACTTCCTACCAACCAAAAGATGGATGAGTACGTTCATTCTGTCCAGTTGCATTGAATCAAGCAGGTTATTCAAGAGAAGAGATGAAAAAAAGCAAGTCAGATTATTTTGGTCTATAATAACACAAGCACGTGGAAACATCGCCAAAGCTGCCCTCTTAGACTTCAAATAAAAAGTTGTGTTGCGCCTTCTATATTTTTCGAATCTTTCAGTAATAGATATTCACCTTTTTCATTTATTTATCAGTTCCGCCGCCTCAGATTAAGAACTCAAAATTGAAAAATTTCTTTTGGACAGGTGTAACTTAGCGTCAAAGGAATAAGGTAACGTGGTGTTTTCTATTCAGTAAGAAAGTATAGCAGCTTTGAACAAATAGCTTCTGCGGTTATAAGATAACTCTCTCTTTACATATATATATATATAGACACACATTAATGAGGCGCTTTTCCAATAAATTCTATATCCTAGGTATTATTGGATGTGAGAGATACTGCGTACCGGCCGACAATTTTTACATAATTAAATAGTATACTCTTATTTTGTACAATCTGCATGTATGTGTGTGCGTCCTGTATCAGTAATTTCCACATTGAGTGCCTCGAAATGCGTAACCATGGTAACATCTCTTACATGGAACAGTGAGGTCGCTTCCTCCTTAGAAATTAGCCTCTTCGGACCTGTAATCATCTTTGTTGCACGCCGTGCATTCCTTACGAGTACTGTAAGTCCTTTTGCTCGACAGCGTTTCCAAGATGTGCGATTTCATGTCAATTCAGATACTGAGTAAGTTGCTGTTTGGTCGCATGCGAAAAATTTGCTTTTTAGTTTTCGTTGATTCGTATTATTGACCTGTTGATCGAAGTGTGTTACTTATTTGTCACCCTAGATGTTGAAGGAACAAGTTGATCCATTATTTGCTTAGCATTGTCACAAATTGCTCTGAAAACGCGTTTGCCCTTGGACTTGGGCATATATAGCAATACCACGGTATTTCAAGATGGAAGGCTCATACATGTAAGTGAAAAAGTCACATCGCTTTGAAGCGAAACAAATCAAGCGAGAATCGTATAACAGTAGAATATCGGCAAAATAAGACAAACGATGCCTAATAAATCTTAGTAACTTCGACAGGAGTACTTTCTTATTTTCGTTGTTATGAATGAAGCTTGAGTTAGAAGTTTCAAAGATGGCCGTGTGGCGAATACGCTGCGTAACTCAGGCGCTTAGTTAATTAAGTTAACGATTATTATTGTATTACGGTTATTATACGCCGGCTAGCGGCGGTTGGCAGATTTGTGTTGCTTTATGTTGTTGAGTTGCCCACCAGGCTTGGAACTTACATATCTGGAAAATCGCGAAAATGCTGTGCGATTATAGCTCATTAGAAAGGATTTGATGCGCTGGTGTGTCTTGATTCCTTGACAATATAGAAACGTTGCTAACGGCATCATGGTAGATCGTTAGCACAATGTTCACATGCTCGTCTTGCCTCGAACGAAGACATAACTATTGGTCCAAGAAGGGATCTATAAAGGTGCAGGAAGACGTGTTCTGGGCAATTCGAGCTGGCAGACTTGATAGATAACATAACAATGCATGTATACACTCGCATGACCAGTAGCGGAAAAGTTGGAGATTCGTATAGAGGATAAACCTACGTGCGTCTAAACTGAAATTTCGTACAAAGCCGTGTGTTATTAAATCCTCGTCCAAAGCACCTTAAAAATTAACAAACGATTGGTCAGGAAAGACCTGAAAGAATCGCAAATAACGGGAAAAATGTCATAGTAGAAAATTCTTTTTTAGGAAAGGGTCGTCCGAGAAAATGTCAAATGACCTTATAACATTCATTGTATGTACAACAAAACACGTATACCGCGAAAGCGGGTACCATAGTCATGAATATTAGAGAAAGGCGGATTACAAAACCGAACGAAGACAGCCATATTGCAAGTTACAAAAATAAGATGGATCTCAAGTTAATATATGCGGAGAAATAAGTTTTACTTTTAGGCCGTTTGTTAGGATATGACGGTCTCTACTAAAATAAAATAAAAAGGCAGCATGGAATATCTTAGACAGAAGTCTCAGAGCTTACATTAAACTACTAGCCAGTGGGTAATCAGATATAATGTTTGCTGAAAAACTTTAGAGTTACACAGTAAGTCGGATTTCATAAAAGTGCCAAGCTAAGTGACAGTTACTTCTTCGACAATATCTGAAAAATTAGGACCTTTTGGGAGAAGGCCTCAGACATAATGGCAAAGTTTGTTGAGCGACTAAAATTGGACCGACTTTTTCAAAAAAAACAAATACTTGTGACACCTTGTGACAGTCTTCGAGCGTCACACAATTAGATTCTGTAGTACTTAACCGAGAGCACCGAAGCAGCGCTTATGGAACACATAACTCACCAAGCTAAAGGCTCTGCTAATGTATGGTTAACTTTCTACATTATGTTCCGATGATGACTGAGGCCGTAATTGATATCATTAGCCAACTCGGCATAAATCGCATGTTTGAATATAGACATGCGCGCAAAAAGCTTCCTCAAATATTTTTCTCATGAAAGAGTATTTACTTACATAGCACGGATGACCGTCATGGCATAGAATGTCAGCTTGTTAACAGTTTAGTTTGAGGGGATGGGTTTTTTAAGGAAGAATGCAAACATATACCACTAATGCTAAAGGTTACGAAGTCGAGAGTGCTCGAGAAACTTTACAGACGGAAGTTATGCGGCGCCTTAGGCCGAGGATCTTTCAGCGACTACAAATGTAACGTCCCACGTCAGAAAACACAGTTGTTCAAAAGACTTACACCATTGAGCTTGCTATTGAAGCAATATCTATTATATTTACACTATAAACGTATTTACTTTCAAAAGTTAATATTTATTTGCTTATAGTAATAGGATTAAAGTGGTACCGTTGTCTTACTTGCGTAATGAAATAAGAAAGGTCTTGTTCTACTCAAATAAAGAGAGCGTCGTATAGTATCCAGTGAAGTATAGGTTTAATTAAAGCTTGTCCGTTAGTTCCAGTATGACGAAAGTTTTAAAGTACCCCGCACTACATTGGTAACGTTTTTACAAGTTATTTTTTGTTCTGTTTACGAGGTAGGGAAAATACAAAGAAAGCAATCGAAGAGAGCAATCGAGCATTCCAAAACTCTCATACAGATAAAGATAAACCGCATTGTATGGTAATTGTGATCAGATATAATGTGTTATATTTTACGCGAGGGTTTGATAAATTATACAAAGTTTTATTCATAAAAATCTCCTAGACTCAATATTACAAACTTTCCGATTCATTTTGCTTAGTGGGGTTAGTAGGAACAATTAAAAACTTTCAAATATTTGAATTTGTTATAGTTACGTGAGTCACAAGCTCGGGGACGTCGAGAAAGGCCAAGACCATCGATCGTATAAAATATAAAGAAGGCTAGATATAGATAAACTTTCAAAGGCGTGGTCGCCTAAGTAATTGTTTCAAATTGTTTTTTTTGTGTACCCTATTATCTGATGTGAGTTTAAAAAAGCTTGCATGCTTCGTGTAATTTTTCTTGCGTGTGTTTGTGTTGGTGAGTATGAAGTATTGCTTGATGAAGTATTGAAGTTTGAATTGCTTTAATTACATTTTATGAGTTAACCTCGTCTAGTGAAGACAGTTTAAAACGAAAAGGACCTGTGTGCCAATGATCACGTGCATATGAGAAAAGCGAGGATGATTGTTTGTGGTAGGAATTTGAGAGACTATAGCTCATAGTTATACGTTTATTTTGAAAACTACCGTTTGAAACTCACATCGGGCTTGACTGGCAATAACTATTGACGACCTGCAACATAGATATTTTTTTTGTGAACACAAAAAGAAAGCGAAACGGTAGGGTCTGACTTAAGCTATAAGAGCTATTCAACACATGGCTAGTATCGAAATAGAGAGGGAACGAGAAAACTCACCGATATAGGTTTTACTCGGACCGAGATGAGTTGAAGACGAATGATGAGGGGCTAATTTTAGTATACGCGCTTCCTCGATGGTGCAGAAGTTATGTAGGTATGACCAGACATGGGCACATTTCACTTTTGCCAGTTTTACCCTTCTAAAACCATACCTGACGCGCAATTTGACAGATTTACATTACAGGTTGCCTGAATATGTTTGTCTGAGACACTCAATAGTCTTTTGTAACTCCTTCTTTGTCGTCTTTCCCGACTTTCTTTGTGATTAATATATTAATTTATTCTAGTAAATACATACGGATTTATTTTAACATGCATCCATCAATACACATATTAGTGATAATTGACAAAATCCACGATTGGCCTCTGGTGAACCGGTCTTGCTATATCCACTCCCTGCCGCCTACTTATTAAAAACATACATACAAGCATCAAAATCGGGGTTACGAGGGTTTTTGGTAAACATTTCTTTATGTACAAAATGGTTTTATACCGAAGTTCATATCTCTGTCGTCTGAAGCGACTCTGTTTTTGCTGCTCGCTGGTCACGACTTCGATGTGGATCAGATCATCACCTGTAATCAAACAACTTGAACATTCGGTATTGACTAGAAGCATCAGCACAGCACACATTTCCCTCCCCCGAGCGTTCTAACTTACTAGTCGGCCTTTACTCCACACCCAAAACTCAATTTTGGGGGGGTCCGTCCGTATTAGCTTGAACCATATGCGCCCAAGACCAGGCTTAAATTGACTCCTCTGTTTTCAGCCCTGAAGCTGTAATCCGATCCAGTGCAACCCACTGCAAAATTTGCATGCAACATACCGCTGAATTCCCATTGCAAACCAGAACATGTCTGCGCAAAAGGCGTGCCAGGATGATATGATGCAACTCCTTTATTATGGAATGAAAACAATTTTAAAGCTTTTGCTTGGCGCTTTTCAAGAGTATCCAACGTTTATCGTGCCCGCAGTCCATCAATATATAAGGTATCTATTATTTCTCATAGTCCTGCCTATTGTCTAAGAAAAAGGTAGATATAGATTTGAATAATAGAGTACAGCTGAGAAACTTGACGGCTGACCGATTGGTTTGAACTTTAATGGTAACAAATGAATTC